TAACCTCCTAAAAAAAAAGTCTTCATTGATCCCATCTTTGTGGACAACTTCACTAATAAGTTACCTGAAACAGTGATGTGCTATCCAGTTTCTATTAGCCCAAGTTCTAGCACGTCCCTAACCACGGAGAACCAGGGAAGAGCCTGGCTCTTGGTTTCCATTAGCACTCAGCGCTAAACTCTTGTGAGCTGAACCTCCGAAGCCATAAATCGTCTCGGTGCCGAGTGTTAATTGCCTTTGAGTCAGGAGAAGAGCAGCGACCACACAGCAGCTATTCATCAAATTTCGCAAAACTCAAAGACCAAGATGAATTTGGGGGTTATAGAGGCTTAATTAGCTTCTAAACCCGTGGCTCAGGCTCGTAAATTTGCAAGTCGGGATTGGCGTGCTGATAATCAGCCCCCAGATCACATGACAGCCTGTGACGGAGCAGGAACCAACTTCGATCGGGATGAAACTTGGCAATCCGCTGCTGTAGCAGGACCAAATCGTACATACCTAAGCTTACGGAGTACCTGACCGCACATCGAAGGAGCTGATTCCCTGTTTGCATACACCTCGATGGCCAGATACCGATTACGATCGGTATATGTATGCTGATCAGTTTATATCTACGTATGGATGGGCTTCCCACCAGAGGATGGACATTTTCTACAACACGACTCAAACCCTGTTGGTTGAGATTCTCGAACACGTGCTTATGGGTTCCAATGGGGCCTCACGAGGTGCTGCATTGTAAGTCTACGCAGGTCAGCATTTCGAAACGCATGAGGCGCTTTCGAGAGCGCTCTTCGGCACCAGAACGATTGGACCTATTTCTGCCCTTTGTGAACCAACCAACACCGATCTCAGTCTCAGCGTTCTAGGACAGGTCCAAAGACATGGTCCTGGAGCCCTACTGTATTGCCGACAGACACACGCACAATAGGCTCCATCTCCGGACCACGGTGTTGGTAATGCTGCCGTTAAAGACAAACCCGACCCTTTGGGTCGGATTGTGGTGTGCCAATGATTCGAAGGATTCTGCCTAGCAATAATCAAGAGCATACGGAGTAGATGACATCTAGAAAGAGCCCGCAAGGGGCTAGGCTATTCTCTCGCCCTTCATTATCTGAACGAGTTGAAGGTCTGGGCCTCTCACCCAACTTAAGGGACAGTAAGTGAGCGGCCGCTATCGCAATCAATGTTCCTGATTTGGCGTACTGACTCCACGTGCTGCTTTCACTGTTACTGGTACACGGGTTTTTGTGTTACTTGGACCCAAAAAGATTAGCTTCTCATACGGTCACAAGCCAGCATGAGCTGGTCTCAGGGAGTAAGAAAACATCTGTGATAGAAGGTGTGAAAATTAACTCAGCAAAAGGTATGCGAAGCTTATGCTAAGTTACCAAAGTCTTTTTATCACTTAGGATCGAGGTCCCAGACTTTCTTTCCTCCCCTAGGCCGGTAATAAGAAATGCTAGACAATTCATCTGGAAGAGGAAATCAGTTCGCTTCGGCTATTAACCCACGGACTAAGATGCCCGATCATGTCTCACCCAGGATTGATTTTTCAGGCTTCTTAAGACTAGAGGCATTTGTCTGACAATCTGACAGGGGTGGGAGGATGATGCGCAAGACGAAAGCAAAGGGGGGAACACAAAACTCAAGAATCAGATTGGTGGCAGGTAGCTGGATCTTAGCGGAGGCCAGTCTTACGATTTCTGTCCTCTACCTCGAGGGAGGTACTGGGAAGTAAAGTTATCAACTAACTACTTGAGCTAATCTGGAAGAAACTCATCTACGATCTGTTATCCACTTTAGCCCGCTGATCTCTCTCGGGAAGTTCTAGGCCACCTGCGCTTATTACATACCATGAATCTCAACGCTAAGCTGTTCTGTGGAGAACAGTCGAGTAGGTATAACGATACAACGCATGGGAACACCTGGCTGAAGTATAGCGGGCGCAAATACCATGCATGTGTTTGACTCAGAGACCCAGCAGAAATTTTCTGTTTGATGAGAGCTGGTTTCTGTGAAAAGCGCCATTCATCTGGTTATCCAGCGGGTAGTGATAAGCCTTTCGGAATTAGCATCTCGATCGCCATGATAGCTCTAAAAATGATGTTTCTCGAGTCAGGAAGATAAGGTAATTTGTTGAATCTAGTGCTGGCCAAACTATTAACCGTTTTTTGTACGATTATCATTACTCGTGCCTGGACCTCAGCTCAAGAGAGCAACTATTCACGCCTCTGGGCTCGGATGCATAAATTGGGTCGCAGGTAGCTCGCATGCTGAGAGCCATATCAGCTATCCTTATGACATATCATATTGGTTGTCTTCTTTGGGAGGTTTCGTCGCTGGCTTGATGGAGATATTTCGGAGCTTTCGTTCCACCCTGACGATGAAATTCCTGTGACGCCTTGATTCCTTGACAGATACACATTTTATTCTTCGGGGAAGTATGAGATGGAGTCTCTGTCCAAAGACGCTATTGCTGAACACTGGTGATGACATGCCAAACCTCCAACTATGCGAGAACAGTGCTGATCTTTCGACGTCACGGCAAAGCATGCTTCTCGCCTCGACGGAGATTACATGGCTTTTGCGCTATGATGTTGATACTTTGTGGATGTCCCTGCATGAGGCTGAAAGCCGTTCATGTGACAGGTTACAATACGATCTGATAATCTGTACACTGGTGTTCATTCTCTAGTTCAAGCTGTTTCCAGTCACTGGGTCCTCGCATCCAAATTTTGGTAAGCGTTATCATCAACAGTATCCGCAGTTTAACATCCACAGCGTCAGAGAGGTGGTTCGGCGAACTTGAACGTCTAGGCTGCTATTGAAACACCACCAGCCATAAATACCATCCTTGTGCACAAGTGGCGTCTGGGCTTCGGCTATCAAACATGTCAATTAGGGACAAAGTCTCTCTGACATGCATCGCTTCCAACAGTGCTTTCAATAGTCAAACTTTAAAATACATCTACGACGCCCTGGTTCTCTTTTGGGTATCTCGTAAGTTCACCTACGGCCGCATTGGCCCAGCCTCGCCTTGCCATGTCGACGCCAACGGCCACGAGGTTGAGCGGCGCAAGGAATCAACGGTGGTGTTGGTTTGTTTGACGCAAGGGCCATGTTGTTCAAACGTCTGGAGATTCCTTGCTGCACTCTAGAACTGGGAAAATATATCGGTCTCTTTGAATCGCCCCAGGCTGTTGTGGTAACCAAAAAGGCCGGTGATTCTTCAGCTACCGCAGAAGAGCATTGCCTTACCGGGCAAAGCGGAACGGAACGGAGCGTCCATCATTTGCAGGAATCACTGCATTGTGGCGCCTGGAGTGCCACCATGGGACACACGGAGGTGGTTCGGTCATAGTAGAAGGGCAGCAGGACAAAGAGCCATCTTCGCAAAACAGCCTGTTATAGGTCAGCCAAAAGACAACTTCTCACGAGAAGCACAAGACGAATTCCATATTAGATACAGACGCCACTACCGGGGGGTGGTATTCCCGGGTCATGGAGCCCTATCAACGTCACAAAGCATGTGCCATTTTGGTGTCATTGGGCGAGTCAACTTTCAGGAGGCTCCACGATGTCGATCTTAGATCGTGCCTCCAGTTTTCCACGATACTCTGTCAGATCTGGTATGGCCAGTCAATACCCTGACCATTTACTTTTAGGTTCAAGATGATTTCATCGGTTGGCACCCTTAACATGGTCGCTTACCAAGCTGAAGGCTCTCATAAGTGGCTTGTTGTGCTGCATGCCTAAAACTTTTGGAGCTTCATGGCTGATATCTCGTTCCTTCGGAGATTATCATTCTCCAAATTAAATCGTTTGCAGACTGCCTCTTGGGCCCTGAGAGCAAGATGAAATATCCATCATGTATATGCGGCTGGCTGCGTATTTTAGATGAAGTGTGTTTCAAAGCCAAACACGCTTGCATGGGCGTGAACAGCAGGTTTGACCTCTGGAAATACTTATTATTAAACTTCATGATGAATAAGAGCTGAAACCACCATATCCTTGGCAGTGTGAATAAACATACCCAGAAACTACCAGGAAATGGCCATGTCAATGGAATGAGGGCACCATGGGTAACGGGCCTTGGCATGTTGTAAACAAATGGAACTTGGGGCAAGGCCTTCTTGGTCGGTATGCAAAGAGACTTGATGCCTCTGATTAGAATGCCAAAAACAAACAGTTAAAGTGTATAAGGACTTGCTCATGTCAGGCTGGTCCAGGGTTTCCATTATCCACATGTAAAACTGATGTCTCACATCACGTGTAAAACGTCGATACCGCGCGTCAAGAACAGGAAATTCATTTGGTTTACCACGTGACGACGTGTGATAACTAGGTAATACAAGTTTGAGGTTAGGTTCTTTTCCATGGATTCACAGCACTGGACCCCAGAGCTTCCGAATGGAGGAGAAAATCGCGGGCTAATATTCTCTCAAACCAATAGGCTCATAGAGATGCTAGCTACGCGCTGACTATTGCCCCGCGTAGGCGCTTACGTTAAACTGGCCACAGAGCTCATTGAGCCAGGGGCCGATGACTTGATGGCACTCAGTGATTGGGCATGACCTTGAATGAAACAGCCTGCATGCTGCAGGTTGTGTTGTATTTGTTGTATGAGTAGCGGGAACTTGGTCTTTTGGGACGCGGCCGTTTCGTTTCGATGATGAGACAAGCAAATGCCGAAACAATATTGAAAGGCATTTACAAGAAATATGTAGATGATAGGATGTTCTCCAAAGTGCTGTAGCTTTTTCCGTCCAGGTATCTCCATCATCAAACCCCAAGACCCAAGTATCGTGGTAGATGGAACCTGATATCAATGCGGGGCTACCCTAGCTTGGCACATGTTACGGCGGCTAAAGGAAGCAGAGTCGAGCTGTCGTAAGAAGGCTGGCTCTCTCAGGGTCTGAACATTTTCTTCCCTTCTTCATTTTGTCTTTCGGTGCAGAAGCTCTTGTATTATTTAACGCATTGTGGTAATATTCCTAGTTATGGCGAGCCAGCAGCATTACTATCCTCGTAGGTCCACATCGAGTCTTGTATCATGACAACGAAACTGATCATGACACCTCAATAGCTCCGCCCGGCGCGACACAGAGCTCACCTGGTTCGCAAAGCTCTCCACAAAGACCTTTTGGCAAAGCTGACCATACAATCTCTGGATAGCTCCTCAACCGCAGCAACAGCAACATCAATATGCGCTGCCACCGACCTCTCCTCCGGCTAATCGCACACAATTCTATCCTCCTCCACCTCAGGCTCAACCTCAACCCGGACAGGCTGTGAACTACCCTGCTCCTCCTCAACATACACCATCTCCCCAAGTCCCTCACCAGCCGACGCCGATTCACTATCCGGCTCCTCCCCAGGCTCAGCAGCAGACTCCCTCTCCACAAGCCAAGCATCACTCTCATAGTTCCTCTCAGGGCTACTATCCTCCTCCTCCAACTTCGGCACCAGCGTATCAGCAGCACTTTCAGCACAACCTGCCTCAGGCGACACCTCCGCCCCCGCAAAATCAGTATCATGCGCCGGGCCAACAGAGCAATTTGGCCATGAGGCCTGGACCAACTCCTCCAGTAGCGACTCCTCCGGCAGCGACTCCCCAGTCTACTCAGCAGAACTTTGAACCGCCACCGCCAGTATCCCCTTTGGGTGACAACCAATATCCCATTGAGAAGCTCAAGCAGGAGCCTCAACAGCAGCCCGGAACAGCAGTTGCAATGACTGTGTCTGGGGCACCCGAGGCAGGTCAATTCGTTGGGGCAGGGGCCACGTCTGATGACGTTGGAACATTCAATGGTGGCAGCTACCGTATTAGCCACCGCGATACCAACACGATTCTCACCATCCAGCTCGCAATGGGCTGCCCCATGACTGGCAAGCCTGGTGCGATGATCGCTATGTCTCCCTCGGTTACTCTGAAAGGCCAAATCAAGTTCAGTGTGAAGAAGATGATCACCGGAGGTGAAATGTCAAGTTCGACATATATTGGTCCAGGAGAGGTTCTTCTTGCGCCCCACAGCCTTGGTGATATAACTACCCTTCGTCTTACAGGCAAGGAAGCCTGGTCCGTAGGCCACGATGCATTTCTAGCTTGTACCCAAGGCGTTATAAAAGACTTCAAGAGACAAGGATTGGGCAAGGCAATGTTCAGTGGCGAGGGTCTCTGGGTTTATAAGATCAGTGGTATAGGATTGTTGTGGGTTTCGAGTTTTGGTGCCATCATTCACAAAACAGTAGGTTTCTTGAACTTGTTTTCATTTGTTCTCAGAGGCTAACATATGGAATAGCTTGTCGAGGGGGAGAAGTACATCGTGGATAACGGACATCTGATTGCCTGGAACTGCAAGTATGTAATGGAGCGTGTTGCCTCTGGGGGTATCATCTCAGGCATTGCTTCAGCAGAGGGTTTGGTTTGTAAATTTACTGGTCCGGGAACAGTCTACATGCAAACCCGGAATGCGGTTAGTCATTTCATCCCTGTGGTCTTTCTGTCACTAACAATATTACAGAGGGCGTTTGCTGCTTTCATGGGTGGCCAGCAGTATCAGGGATAATTGTTTCGTGGAACCATGAAAAGCATGCGAAAGCAAGTGCCTACCTATGATTTGTAGTGTTTGTCCTTTCTGAAATATCTTGGGCTTTCAATTTTTCACTGGGTTACTGGCCGTCTCTGGATACCTCTAATTAAGTATCTAAATACCAAAACACTAATCTAAACACCTTGCGTGGTTCCGCTCACAAATACGTGCTATCAGATTTTCCCATACATTCCGGATTTCTACTATGGTACGAAGTCTTTGTACCTTTCTGCACGTGTCGGAGCTCGAGGTTCCCTCCTTCTTGAATCAGCTCTTTCGCCTAGTCGAATTCTGAGTCCCAGGGAAAGAGTCCTCCTAGGAGAGCAAGAAGTGACAAAGGCGTTGCACTTGAGTTCTTTCTCCGTTCTGTATGATTCATCTAATCGTGCCTTCCACATTCTCAGCACTGCTATCAAAGCAGTCGTCTTCTCGATCGCCCTCACGTATTTGTTGTTTTCCATCTTCACCACCATAGGTAGCTTGGCCTTCATTTGCAAGATAGCCAAACGCCCCTTTTTGGACAATCTATCCTGCTATACGAAGCATTAAAACAAATTAGCTCTGGCAAAAACGCCTGAGCAAAAGCGAATTCACTTGTCAGCGATCGTCCCCGAAGCTTATCAAGTTCCCCTTTTTGGCACTCCACCTCTGAGGCAAGTTTAGCACCTTTGCCGCGAAGCGCCTGGCCACGCAGTTTCCCCTTTACGAGTTTCGTTGAATTACTCGTATTTACCTAACAGTATGTTGCCCTGAGAATTATCGATCGGTTCAATTTGAAGACTTGGGGTCTTGGTTGTCTGATACAAGAATCGAGACTGACACCCGTGGTAGGTAGGCACCACTCAACATTTCCTCTGCCGGGACTACAACTTTGGGGCAGAGACTTACCTTGGTTTTTGGATGAAATGGAAGAAATGCCTTACGGCAAATAGAAACAGCAGGCTAAAAACTTTGAACTCGAGACGTATGCACTGCTGACCGTCAAGAAAAGACGCAGAAGAATCACTAGCATACTACACGAAGCACTCATTCTGTGTTTATATAGAAGCATACGGCATTTCTGACACTGGCAAACATTGGCAGACTATCTTCCCATGATCCAATCTGATTAGGATTCGTGGTGCATCTGAAAATCTCCGGTCAACGTATTGAGGCGCTCAAGACTCAAATTTCGGCATGGCCTTCGAAAAGAGGATTCGAAGCCGAATGGCTCAATCCGTGATTTCAACTGACACAACCACTGATGATTCTTTTGAGGAACTATCTTCGGCACCGTCTCTTTCACGAAGGGAATACTCGGAAGATAACCTCGGTAGTTCAAAGTTTGCTGAGGCAATGAAAAACCCAGACTGGCGTCGACGCGATGGATTCAGTGCTTCTGACCTTACTGACACAACCAACAGCACAAATCAAGCCAGCCCACATAGTCACGAGGTTCTCAACAACGGTACAGAAGCAGGGTATATGTCCCATATGAGAAGTGGAAGCATATCTCCATGGACTTTTATTGACAATTCCGATCAATTCCAACCTTGTCTCTACGGTTCTGAGACTTATATCAAGGACTCAAAGGTGTCTTCTACCAACCAAGAACATGATAATGTGGAGGCAGCTGATGCCATGGGTGGACTCTGTACTATCCGGCTTAACGTCGACCTGGCCGGTGGCCATAGCAAGGACCGCCAACTCCGCGTTCTTCAAGTCTCACCCCTTCCTTCTTACGCTGCTAGCCCACAGGAGCATAGAACGGCAGTCCCTAACATTGGCCGAGAGGGTCCTATTGCCTACGTGCAACGTGTTGTCAGAAAACAGCGAAGAACTTTGCAAAGAACTGATAACTCCAATGCGGAACGATGTCGAACTCCTCGCCATATTTTCCCCACAGAGGCCGGAAACGAGAGCGAACTCGACAAAGAAAGGACTGACAAGGCCAGGCAAGCTGTGCTGAAGGACCCAGCTGTTGCCAACATCGGTAGCGCACATGCAAAATCCCACCCAAAGGTACCTAGTGGCTTGTCATCGCCAGCTGAGCAAACCAGAAAGAGTGAAGAGCTCGAACGCAGAAAAGCTGCTTTCATGAAAATTCTGCAGAAGCTTCAAAGAGGGTCAAAAAATGAGACTGAAAACAACAAGAGAGATACAAACAGGCCTTTTTTCAGCCATGGTTGTCCTTGGGGCCCAAAATCAAGCCAGCAACCGAGCCAATCTGAACAACAAAGCTCTGATTCCGGTATTGGCTCTCTTTATAGCGATTCACGGAGAAAAAAGAACTCATCTAATGACTCCGGAGTCCGAATTGATTCTGATGTCCTCACACATGGGTTGAACCCTCGGGCAAGGGAATTCCTGTCATTCAAAAGAAGTTTCCCGACAGCACCGCAAACTCTAGGAATTGTCAACTTTCCAGAAGACGAGCTTTTAAAGAGTATGTTGCTAAGTCAGACTGAGAATGGAAGCGAAGACAGCGTTAGAAACACCACCAGGACTACATTCCATAACATGAACGACCTTTCTGTTCCCGTACTACAGTCAGACATTGGTGCCAACAGTACAGAGAATGCATCTGTTCCAGTGGTAAGTACAGCCGATTTAAACAAACAGGATCAAGGAGAGGTCGACTACTCATCAAATATATCACCGCCCGCCAAATATGGATCTCTAGAGGGTGCTTGTGGCCCTCCAGTGAGAAATATCCTCACCCCTGGAGTGCTACCTGGTCTTGGACATGGAATCCTGCCAGCGCCTGCCACGTTCGGCAATGCGCCGAGCCTAGCAATGTTTAGTCCTCTTCTACAACAGTATCCTGTTACATCGGGTCACTTTATGGGCACTTCTGCAGCGCCTCAGATTCTCTTTAACCCAACGCCGGGAAGTAGTTGTTATCAACCTCACCAACACCATGTTCCGAAACCGACCAACCCTGACCCAATTCAGCAGCAAAAATATGAAGAATACATTGAATGGCGTAAAGCTCATGAGCCTGGATACGCACTTGCATGCAAAGGTCGGCAACAACGTCGTGCCCAACGTGGTATGGCAACGCAACCTGTATCGATGCATCACGCTTCGTGCGAAGGAACCCAAATGGTTCAGTGATTAGTTTGGATGATGGAGTGTGGAGAGAAAGTCGAAGAAGAAAAAAATATGTTCTGACACCAGCAACTCTGTCGTTGTGCAAACCAAGCACGACCAGACCAAACTATTAATTTTCGCATTCATTCCCTCCTTATATGCATTGTCTGTGTAAAACAGAACATGAACCCATTCTTATCAGAAATTATCATGATTAGGAGCTTGTATAGATACGATGGTGGTATAATAACTGCAGAAACGCCAAAAGAAACGCTTAAATACATAATACATTGTTCGCGACCCTTCAGCATTACGACCCCAGTTTGCAGCTATAACAAAACGCAGTTGCGACACCAGTTTGTGAAACGCAAAACTTACAAATATTAAGAAATGATGCACTGGTTGTATGAAGCCAACCGTATGACTTCTAGCATTCCTCACCTTCTGCGTCCTCATCCAGACCCTCGTCATGAACGCTGGTTAACCTTGATAACTCGGTCTTGGCCGCCTTAAGCGGTTGACATGTCTCCCACCCTCCGCTAGTGGACGCAATGACACGAACGTTGGGGTGAGAAGCCCATTCCGTGAGAGCCTCATCGTTTGTACCGCCGAAAACGACATGTGGTTCCTCGTTCTTGGCGGCACGCTCAAGATGAACAGCGACATGCTCCATTCGGTCATCCCAAGTCTTATGGCCGTTATTAAAGACTGCTGTGCAGCCCTGGGCTGGGCAATGCATGTAATCTGGCAATTTGCAACGCTGTCGGAACGCTTCCTCCTGTAAATTTTTCTCTTGAGCTACCCATTCAGGAGGGAAGGTTTTGTTTTTCTTGTCAGCCTTGGCAACCTCCTCAGGGGCGTGCATCCGGCGTATGTGTTGTGTGTAGAGGTCTTTTCTTTTAAAGACCCTGCAATGCGTAGCTGTGCCCAAGACACATTTCAGTGGGGTTGAAGGATATCCGCAGGCACCAGTTGTACAAAGCCAGTAGTGTAGGTTCAAATGCTGAGCGGAAACATGTCTTTTCCATTCATTCTTGTTTGCAAAAGCGTGGTTACAGCCCGCAAAATGGAAGACGCAGATGAAAGGGCGAGTATGCATGGCATTGATGTGTTTCTGCAATGATACGTCGTCGTTGAACACTTTCTGGCAATGTATGCACAATATGCTTTCACATGAGGAGAGCAATTTCCGCGCTGGGGTGCCGTGGGTAATAGGCCGTGATTTGGTAACCTTTCCTCTGCTAGCATGGGTACTGGAACTTAGTCGTCTGGTACGGCCACGTCGACTGCCACCTTTGGCATTTCGAGGTGACTTAGTTCTACAGTTGGGTCTGTATTCATCGTCACCATCGTCGCCATGGACAGTCTCAGCTTCGTTTTCGAGATTTATGTCCAGATCTGTGTCGCCAGGATCAGGGTAGGCCGTCTTCGTATCGGGTTGAGGATATAACTCTGGAGGTGAAGGGTCGAAAGTCGGTGGAGAACTCGAGCCGTCACCTTGGTAGATGGAATTGGGGGTGGCGCCGTCAAAAGCAGCATTCATGTCGAGGGTGAAAGCATTGATCTCTTGCTCCTCTTTGATTTCAGAAAAGGGTTGACTTGGCTCAATGACAGCCGGGTTCACATATCCTTGTGGACCACTCGATAATCCGTAAAGGGAGACACTAGGTGACAGAGAGCCTGAACCAACGATGTTCGGTGACAAGACTGCAGCATCGGACGGCGTAGAAGGGCCTAGAGTGCTGACATGTGCATCATTATCTGTCCAATTGGGACTTTGTGGTCCACTCGCAGCTGATGATGGTTGGTAGGACATTGGAGAGCCCTGACGGACTTGTGGACTTTGATGAGCAGGACAACTCATATCAGGGTATATTCCGGTATATCGGGTGCCTGGGATATCAATGTTTGATGAAGCGATGAAGTAGTTGCTCTGGGGCTCCTGCAGATATCTCTGCATGCTGTTGGTACCATAGTAGGTACCTTCGTGGCCGGGATAGGGTGCCATATGTTGGAGAAGGGGATCAATTTGGCAAGTGAAGTCTTCGTGATTGATTGAGTCAGGGCTGGAATAGGAGAAGTAACGTGTGTTAGATAAACAACTAGCTGCGTTGTTCTTCTCATAGGGTGATTGGAAGGTCATGGTGATGGCAGATCCCCTTCTTTAGAGAGGCACTGTGAGTAAGGCTCCTGGTGGCGAAAGAAAAGAAGAAGAACAAAGAGCACGGTATGCCAGAACTTCCAGAGCGAAGAAAACTTGGAGGAGAAAGTGCCACTGAGCGGTTCAAGTTCTAGCGTCGAAGTTGAGAACCATCAGCTCTGGAATGGCGAATGGGCATGTATATCATGAGTGCAAAATGTGCGAGTTGGTAACGTAAGACGTTGGACGTGTAAGTCACCCGTAGCACAAGCTCGGGGAACCAAGGCGAGTGGGAGGCTTGATGTAAGTACTTAAGGTAGGAATAGGAAAAAAAGGGAAATTCACAAAGTGTTGACCAGGAAAGGAGGGATTGCTTGAACAGTGGACCACAATAGAGAGTAGTCGCCATGTTGGAGGGCGAGGGCAGACATCTTAATAGATTATAAAGACCCCAAAATTTGTATGGACGGAAGGTCTCTCCAGCCTATCTGGAGAGTCCCGCAGACGCGGGCATTGGGCACTCCCTGAGTTGGTCGAGCAGAGCCTCAAGTACGTACCTCAGCCTGAAGAGGCATCGGTGGAAGTGGAGCGCTGCGCTGATCCCATCTATTACTCTTCAGGACGACCTGCATCAGCATGGGATTCCAGACCTGACCCTGGCGGCCTCGCCCTGTCATCCTTGGGAGAAGATGGTGTGTGAGCCGGGACGGAGGCGTCAAGTTGAAGGGTACCTTGATGTAGGTAGTGACAATGCCCAAATTCCAACATGGTGGCCAAGACGGGAGATTGATGACTTTGTGAGCTGTGTAGTCAGCTGCCAAGGGAGGTGGGATTTATCTCCTAGGCTCTGTCCCAGGTGGTTATGCACTCGAATCCGAATGAATATCAAACATTTTCAAATTGACAGCGGCTATGCATCGTCGAGAGAAGTCATATTGACATTGTTTTCAGTCATTGACGGCCAAGTCCATGGCCGCTAATGTTAGTCCAAGCAAGGCACACGGGGTTGAGTGAGCTTAACGCCACGCAACAGGACGGTAAGGCCCGTTCAGCCGCCATTTCTATTGCACGGATGTGGATGAATATGTGCCGGTGTGAGTGAGTCCAAGCATTCCTTGCAGCCGCAACGGTGATGCGATGGCGATGCGTTGCTGGCGTTGGATGTTGATAGGTAGGCCGAGAGAGCAGGAACTGTGTCTGTGCCTGAGAATGGGTAGGCCAGGGATGAGCGGAGCATCCTCTGACAAGCTGGTTGATGTTGATGGTTGGCCTGGGACACTTTGATGCAAGACGTCTCTTCCTGGTGACGGTCGCCTCTGATTAGGGCCATCATTGCGCGAGCGTGGATAGCCGCCAAGCCAGAGTGAACCTGTAGTATGTTAAACCCATTCAAATCCGCGTTAGTGGGTTAAGATCGCGATTAGTGGCGGTTAATATTTCCCAAGAATGACCCTTGAAACGTATCATGACGAGTACGTGCTGTGCCATGCGTGTCGACCTGTAGTACCTAATCAGGGCTGAAGATGCTGACGATTTGGAGAACTCGATGAGAATGTGAAAATCCCTTCCAGAGGTAGTTTTGACGAACTCGTTCTTATCCGCGAGAAACGAAATCACTCACGGCTGAGGTCCTCCAGCGCGAACTGGAGCTGGAGCTGGAGCTGGAGCTGGAGGATCGACGACAGGCGTTAAACGTTGGCTAATTTAAGACAAGGAAATGTCTCTCCAGCACTAAACCTTTGCGGGCTAAGCCTACACAGATGAGCACCTTAAAAAAGCAGGCGACCATCGCCTAGATCTTGGCCAATAACGAGTACAGTGGGTTGTACTAGAAGGGAGGTTAGTGGATTGCTAGAGCCAACAGACTTACAAGCATTACCTCGCCCGACCCGGGTCTTGACTGTCACTCCACTGTTTGTGAGTTCCCGCCCCATGCCATGCCATGCCATCCCATCCCATCCCATCTGACACGAACGTCAGCTTGGTGCAGTGTACATACACCGTACGGTGCGACTGATGAGGACAGAGGCAGGTAAATCTGATTTATCGCACGGGTTTGGCTTTCAGCTCTCTTTCTATTGGCACAAAGACCCTTGTCAACATCAATCCTCAATGACACCCAGTCTCCAGTCTGATAATCAAGCTAGTCAAGAATCCAACGACAGATTCTTGAGCAGGCCTGTCCAGGTACTCATTCCTTCAGCGCCTACTTGGTACTAGCCCATGTGTCTTATGTCGTGATAGTCTCACGGAGCATGTTCGTACCTTATTCGAGCGTAGATTCTCTGTGGGTAGTGTGTTGATAACCGGAAATGTAAAGAATCCCGCAATTTGAACAAACAATTGGGTCATCATCTGCTATTCTGTACTTGTAAGAAGGCACTGGTGTAAGTCAATATTGGTTCAGAGAGCAGGTCGGAGGTACAGGCATTGTTATTCATGACAGATATCAATTATGAATCATCACAATACGGCAGCAGGGCTGAGCCCATAGCTACATACACCTCCGTTCGCATGCATGCGCCATGGGGGTTGTCTAGGTCAAAGATCAATGTCTGCAAGGCGATGTTACATTGATGAAGTATTAACTGCCCCCAATATCAGCCTTGGGACTGTCCCTCAATATTGTATGCCAAACGAATATCGAGTACTTCGCTTCAGCTGAAGCGAGCTGGATGTTGAATTCGTCTATTTTGAGCCATGTACGTACGAATACGTAAACTTACGGCTGCCATCTCGGTATATTGATCTGACTGGATGAACCGAGTGCGTGGATTCAGGTAAACTTCAATGCACACCACCCTTCAGCCTCTTTGCAACCTGGCTCGAGTCAGAGTCGGCGCTGTACCACTCTCAACTACTCCGTACGTACTATGTAATTAGGAAATGCAACTTGTCGAGGTTTAGATCTCAAGCGGAACCATTAGCCGCCATTGAAAACGTGAACTCACTTGTCCCCGATGAAATAGCAGCTTTTTAAAATCTATTCAAGTGTAAGCGGGACCAAAACTACTCTCAGTCGTTCAGCTTGTCCATTCCACAACTATCGAGATGGACTCCTCATGGCGATCCCGCTTCATGGGATGGTCAAGATGGCGCAGAGCCCCTTTGCCCCTGTATTACATTTGATGATACGGAGTACCAGGCCTTGAGATGTCTAGGATGTATGTCTGGGCTCACTCGAGTGTCGGGAGGATTGGTCTCTTCCCTGAATGCGGTGCAGATCTTATCTTCCGTGGGTAACCCCTGCGAGATACCCTATCTACTCTGTTGTACAGTTGTACTTTCTTCAACCCCATGCCCCTGCTGCGGGGGCATGGGCCATGGTAGTGGTCCCTTGTGTAACATGACAAGTGAGTAGACTACCCAACGCGGCTCCTGGGGAAATGAGCAACTACCAGAAACCTACAGCGGTGCCTTGGCTGGCCGCTCCGATACCAATAGTTCTTTTTGTTGTCAAAGAATCATTATGCGCCTGTGACACACATAGAATAGATACCCGGTGAGGCAACTTGTGAGCGGGTTCAGCTCTGAAGCATCTCATCTACATGGACCCCATGGCTGCTCTTGATCACGCCGCGGGAGCTTATCCGGAGCGCCTGTTGGGGTGGCTTGAGACTGAGACAATAGTCCGCGCCATGCCATTTGGTGGTCAACTAAAGTGGAAATACGTCGTATGCAGCAGGGCACTATTCGAGCATGCGGACGGCACTCGAAGTTAGCCGATGCCCCTGTCTTGTTGACTTTGCTTATCCTACAGGGGCCGTCTGGTAATATCCCGGAGCAGACTTTCACGAGTAATTCGTGATATATCAGGAGTCAAGTTGCCCAGCAGTGCTATGACTAGGGCTCGCATTAAAGCATCAACATGCCTTGATCTCCGCACATCCTAGCCCAGTTGGCAGCTGCAGAAGGCGAAGATAAGATCGAATCCATTCTATGATAAATACAAGTGCTTCCCAGGCAAAAACGACCCTTCAACTCTTATAAATTGTAAATATCCAAACATGCCACATGACGGGGGTATATCATTCGCATCATACGAACAGAAAAGGGAATATACATAGATCATAGTACAGTAGTGACGCACTGAACACAATAAACTAACTGTCGCTTGTGGATGGAATTGCGTGCCAAGTACAGTTCTTGCACGAACGTTGGTTGCACTCGCAGCACAACGTGTTGTTGCTGAAACTGTTTTCAACAGCACAATTACACTGTGTGAGTGTGTTAGTCTAGTTGCGATTGGCATTTGGGCCGGAACTCTACTCACACATGTCCACATATACATATCTTTTTTTCTACCTCGGCGATCTTCACCACTGTTCTCTGTAGAGACAGTGCTCTCAGGAGATATTGGGTCGCATGAAGATGATCCAGATGAGGATCCAGACTCATCCACCTGGGCAGCCGAGGGGACAATACTGTGGTCCTTCTCATGAATCCATTCCCTGATGTCTCTCTTGGGTACACGACGGCCAGAGAAATGATCGTCGATGTGGTCGCAACGTTTCGCCCAGGTGTTGTCTGTCTCTTTAATCTCAACAGTTTCCCGACAGAAGCCGCACCAAAAGTGAGCATCGCAGTGACGACCTTTTCGACAACCTTCAACTTTTTCTTCGAGCTTGCTGGTATCTGTAATCTCATGCTCCTTCGAAAGATGGTTCCGGAAGCTCTCGCGGCGGTAGCAAACCTTACCGCAAGGCTCAGCAGAATCAGACTTGGCGCAGTCACATATCCATGTCTCAAGCTGATAATGCTGAATGGATTCATGCCTCTTCCAATCGTTCTTGCTTCCAAATGTCTTTTTACAGTCGGCAAAAGTGCAACCGTATGGCTTTGAATGCCTCTTCTGGTGCTTCCTATAGAAATTGTTAGCCAAGTTATTTAGCGTGTTGGACAATAACACTTACTTCAGCTCGCACAGACGAGGAAATACTTTATCACACTCCTGGCATTTGTGAGGGTGTGTTTGGCTCTTGCTGCTCACTGCATCTAGTTTTGAAGCCTCCTCTCCTCCGCCTGCGAACCGCTTCTTCAAATAGCTTGCGATAAGTTCCTTTGGTATTTTATCAAGAAGGTCATCGTATGCTGATTCTGGGCTCACATCGGACGGTGTTTCGCTTGCTTTTTCGTGTGGGGGAATTGCTTTGGGAGTCCGTTGGGCTTCGTCAGCGTCAACCATTCTGACATCAACCTGTTGGCTTCCTGAGTCCCCACTGTTACGAGAGACGTCTGTAGTGGCTCCTTCACCTTGCTGCACGCCGTCCATAGTTTCTATTGCATCATCGTCTGGCTGTTCAGCTTCAGAAGCGGTGATATCGTCACCAGGCGCATCCTCCTCAGAAGCGGATGCAGGCCATTGATTCGATGGCAGAGTGCTGCGCCCATGGACAATGTCAGGGTGAATGAAGTTCTCGTCACCTTCTCGTACTGTCGCAAGGCTTGATGCATCTCGATCAAAGGATAAAGAGGGTTGTCCTCGAGGAGGATTACTCGTAACGGATTGGGGTTGTGAAGCCCGTCGTTCACCATACGACACACGGAAGGATAGAATTGTTGAGGGATGGGCCAGACCAGGTAACTGTTCTTGTGCCTGGAGATATGCCATAGCACTCCCTCCCACGCCCTCGAGATCTTGTGACGGAACTGGACTGTTGTTTATTAGCTAACTTTTAGGTACCAGGGCAAAGTATGAGGCTAAAAAGAAAGGGGGAGAAAAGTCATACCGATGCACATATTCAGAGAGATCGTCATTGGCTGAATATGTCTTTGCATGAATTCTCTGTAAATGTGACCGGAAGTTGTCTGCCCTTGGCCAGATTTTACTTTTCTTCGCACAATCGCCCATATTACACACGAAGGTGCGACCAGAAACAGTGCGGTCGCTATGTACAGTTCTCTTATGTCTGTCAAGGTCGTTCTTGGAAGTGAAGCCTTTCTCACGCGAGCAGCCTGTAACATCACAGTGCCAAGGAAGAGAATGTTTCAATTCATGTTTTCTGTACTTTATTAGCAAAGGGGGGATCAATAGAGGTCAGCCCCATGTGCTCACCTTAGCTCGGAACGTGTGCGGCATCGTTTCTGGCATTCAGCACAAATCCAACGTCTTTCTCCGCCAACCGGGGCTGTTGCAACGCTTGCGGGCGGATAAGGTCGGACCCATTGGTCTTGATATAAGTGAGCATCATTGGAGGCTGGTTGACACTGCAATTGAAGGGTTTCTAAGTTTCTGTTGACAAGCTGCGCATCCGAATTTTGAGGTTCCAAATTTTGGACATCAGGGTCCATATCTTCACCATATGCAGAAGGGTTTCCAATGCTATGGGCCAAGCGGCTGCCGTAAGCCGAATCTTCTGGGTTGGTATCACATTCTGATAAAAGTGGTTTGCTTCGATAGTCTTGATATGAAGTTTGGAAGTTGGCGGATCCAATAAGTTGCGAACGGGTCTGGCCGTCATTAGGCGCACCGAAGGCAAGAGGATTCCAGGGATCATCTCCAGCCCAGTTTTGCCAAAAAGGGTTCGTGGTCTGATGTCTCTGCTGACCCAGAGCAGCCAGGTTCGAGCTCTGCTGTTGAGCCGCCTGCGGGGATACATTGGCGCCGCCTCGCTGCTCCTGTGAAGTGCTAAAGGAGTCCATTCTGCGGGCAGAGTGTCGGTATTGCTATCAGAGTGAACGGATGCGTTAAATGTAGATGATTTCGAGCCGTACTGGGTGTCTGAGCAGCACCGTTGGTGGCAATAATTGGGGGCCCAGGAATGATCGTGTAGGTGAACAATAGACGTCACAACGATTCAAGAGCAACTAGGGCCTCGAGTTAGCCGTCATTTTGTAGCAGTACATCATATTCCGTCCGAGTTGATAGACAGGAGGGCTAAAGGTCATTCGATTTTGGAAGGGACAACAAGGTTCTCGAGGTCGATCGAACTGGGTAGGATACATAGGAGAGACACGGCAACCAGAAGAATCAAAGGAATCAAAAAGCATACATTGGGCAGAGATCAATAGCTGGGTCCAGCGCAACAAGCGTTGAGTCCAGTTTCCGGATGTCGGACGACTGACGACAGACACCAGCGTGATAGCCTTTGTCAAGTCAACACCGAGTCTGAAAAGGAAACAGGTCGAAGCCAGAGAGATATCCAAGTGGTTGAGCGAGCTGGCTGGTAGCTACACCAGTGATAGTCGATTGCCTTAGGTATATGTTGTGCTGTGTTGTGCTTCGCGTCAGGGTGTCACTGCTAAAGTAGTATGAGCCATAGGCTAGTAGGTAGGCATTGAGATCTAGGTATGGGCTGGCTTAGAATAAGGCAAAAGGCAAAGGAGGATGGATGCAGAAGCGCAAATGAAGATGAGAATGGCGGGGGGACGATGAGGAAATAGAGGAGGGAAGAGTCGCTGTGATGAGATAAAGTAAGGTTACCTAGAACCTAGGCAATGGGACTGGAGGTATTGTATTTGGCAAAGTACAATTCCGGGTGAGATATGAGCGACTCTGTCTTCCCTAAACCGCCTCACTTTGAGGCTTTGCGATGTATTTCAACCAATCAGCATTCTTCTTTCAACCCCCAAGATACTAGGCATCCAGCGAGGCAACCTGCGTTCGCCCGCTGATGAGACTTAGCTGAAAGTGCGTCTTTGCGAACCATCAATTAATGATGCGGCTGAATTTACAACGGTTCAGTGATGTGTCTACCTACATACGTCACCGACATATGATTAAAACATCTCCGTATAAGAACATTCGGTGTTTTTCACAATTCGGCGCTTCGAACCAGTATCTGTCTACTTACAGGGTCACCCACGAATTGCCGTCATTTTTTATCATCGTCAACAATTAGAGCATGCGGCTTGCTATACGACTGACTGTCTTTATTCACAAGAAATATCAGAGAATAAGAAGTTCAGCTGCTACAGTTTTCCGACACAGCATTGATTCTCAGATGTATGTTGTTGTTCATAGCCAGCCAATACAAGACGCCCCTTATTGCAAGTGCGCCAAGCTCTTTTCCACATCAAAACCATGACAATTACGTTCAATCGTTGATATATTCTATCACGGAATACTCGGCTTATTCCAATCATATTCCTCTCTAGGACAGTCCCCAGAATACCCGATAGCACATAATCCACGCTTTTATCTACCTCTGGATAGCTCCATTCTTCATAACTCGACGATGTGGTCCGTTGTCTCTTCTCTCATCTGCTCCTTTGGATCCAGCTCGATTTGGCTACATGCATTCGTGCGGTTCTTCATTAGCCTTGGTAATATCTGCACCTTGCCGAACATCCCACTATTTATCCCGGATCAAAATCCTCGAGGCCGAATGTGGCTGAACGAAAACGATTCAAGATATCTATTCATAATCTAGCGCAAATGTAAGTGGCGGTAATGGCCTGTTGGAAGATGAATGTATATCGTGCGAGGATCATCGCCCATACTTCAGCTCATGTCGAGACCCGTTGGGTTGAGAAAGACAACAGCAGCTCCAGTGGCTATTACGTATGCCCTTCCCTCTCAGCTTGAAACCTCGGTCAATTCGAAATTCCAATACCCGACGGCTCTCAAGTGAGAGGTGGCAGTCGTGTTCTCGTCCCATGTTTAGATTTCGCTACTTCTTCATCGATACCACATTCCAGATATCCAAAGAAGCAACGCGTCTCAATTTGAATATCATGAAGAAGAAAGAAGAAAACGAAACAGAATAAATGCGGGTAAAAAGAACTTCACCAACAAACCCCCATGAGGCACACTGGGTAACACCAGACTCGAATCCTCACTGACCCCTCGTTCGGATAATCACTTTTTGTCTATGCAGCCAGCTCTTTTCAGCGCTGCAAGGAAAATTTGCAGCTAATGCCATTCTGGGCTGCATATAGTCCATTGCATAGGCCGACTCCTTAAATATTTTGGATGTCGATTGGATGATGAAGACTAGACCCCTTGTCTCTTGCCCGACAGCTGGATGATCCAGGAACTGGGGAAACGAGGAAACGAGGAAACGATAAGAGAGTATACTTCAATGGACGAACTCTGAAGCCGGCGTCGGCTCTCTTACTATAAAATGTGCATCCTTTGCCACTGGTCAGTCGTTATCACTAAGTCTGCTCGCTACCATCTACGGTTTTGGTTTGTTAATCACCTCCTCATACGTTGAGCCTCACAACTCAGATTCCTCACTACGACTCAGAAAGCTCTTGTAAGAATATACTGCATATTATCGAAGCTCGTCTCAATAACTTAATCACATCAGGATCATCCCAGTCAAAGGCAACTGCCATAACAACAAAAATGTGCGATTGGGAAGAGTTTCTCTTTGCATGCAATCACTCGACCCTCCGCCTCAAGTCATACTGCCACTTTGCTCGCAACGACCCTAATCATCAATGTTTTGGAGTCAAGGTCCTTCGCAAGTCATGGAGACAATGCGTTCCTTGCGACAACTGCGCTCTCGCTTGCCAGGCAAGTGAATCTCAGACACAGCATAACTACGATCAGGAACGGTCTTTGCAAAGACATGGCGGATAAGTTTAGAGGCTTTCGAACCGTTATGAGTTTGGGTTATCAATATCTTGTTAGTGCTGTTGGTTAAGGTTCTCATCTTATTCATCCCCTTCTGTGATCATAAAGGCCATTGCCTCTATTTTTGTCAATCAGGTCGTATACATGAGTAGAAATCACTGCCTAGGTAATTATAAGCAGAGCACACGTGTGAATCAAGCATGCATGAACCTCGTTTTGGTCACCAAAGATCTCATATGTGACACGTAGTGCTCAAGCTTCGCTGTCCAAGCCTATCTGTCCAGAAACCAACACTCGTGTGAAACTGGGCTGTCAGGCGTAGATGCTACCCCTGGCTTTTCCCTGGACCAGAGACAGGCTACAAACCGGACCTAAACAGCGCCACAGACGGAAGCATGGGTCGACATGGTAAGAATAAGATAGAAGCGCTGCGGGCCCGTTTTGTGCAACAATGCTTGTGCGAGGGCACTAAGTTGACAAACCATGAAAGCTGGGAGGGGGTGGACTTAAAACGGAGGATCTACTGCCCAAGATCAGGTTTGCCTCGATTGAGTATACAAGTGCACACTGTGGCTTGAACGAGAGAAGTGAGTGACTCTGTGATCGGTCTTGAGATAGTCTCTCACCGGCCAAGGTATAGGACCAGTCATTGAGCGAGATACTGCATCTTAGATCCTTTGAGCTTCCATAGGCCTATGACGGTGGAGAATAAGAAATTCTAATCACTGCTTATTGTCCACGAAAAGATAGATCAAATGAAGATGGAGGTTTTATAACTTGACTTGAGTACTCGGAGGACACTCGGATAGTCAGTCCATGTTCGTGGCACCTTCAACAACACCAACGACGTTGTACCGCTTTGAAAAGAAAGTGATCCAGTCATTCAATACGCCTTTTTCCTTCTCATCCAAATCCTGCCACTCTGGCCGTGCATCCTCTGGCTTGGTCGAAGTCTTGCCGAGGGCTCTCGAGGCATCCTTACCGGCAAACACTAGTCGTGGCAGTTAGGTAACCTGTGTCGTAGTACACTCAATTAGAAGATTTACCATTGTAGGAAGCTCCAGGAAGGTAAGCCTTGTTCCCAGTAACGTCGTAGACCTTGCCCTGTGTTTGACGCGATCAGTCGTGCCCACATCAGACGGGTCATGCAGCAAGTTTCTTGCTATGGGAGATTATACCTTGATGGCTACGTAACACTTGTTCCCATCCGCGCCTTTTTCAGATTAGCAATGTCCAATTTAAGAGTCCCAGATACAAGATTGAGTCAAAGCCAGCATGATGGCTTACTGAGCATCATGAGGGGCGGGCCGTACCGTTGGCTTTAGCGAGCTCTTCTCGAGAGATGATGTCGTCCTTTGGGGGGTCGAGGTTCACAGGAACCTTGGGTTCAAACTTTCCAGCCATTATTGTGGTTGTAGTTGTGATTATCGTGTAAGATTGGGTAGCAAGGGAATAAGTTTGGAAGGCTCTGGGACGTTTCTCCAGCTTCCGTCATATGCAATCTCTCCCCTCCCCCCGCCAAAACCACAGACGACCCTTAACTTTCCCGCCCCAAAAAGCCTCGGCCAAGTCAGCTCTAGTTATTGTTAGCGGATTCTGACACTGCCCTCCACTAAAGAATCTCATTGATTGGAAACGCACAGGCCAGTATTCGTCCCAAAAACCGTCTGTGCGCCTGCGTAATCATGATGAGCTCCATGTGAGCATCCACTTACAACTTTTCAACCTTTACGCTTGTCATTATCACCACAGCCATACAAAAAAGAACCCCTGGCCATCGCTCGCCGAGGGACTCGTCAACCGGCTTACCATGTCGGTATCAGCAGTTGCATCGCTGAGACTCCTTCGTCGGAGATGCTGGCAGCATCCACCTTCCGGCCTGTTATCCGTCCAATTACGTTCACGAACAGCCACGGTCAACTTGTACGCTGTTGTTAGCCTCCGGCCGGACCAGCGTCGATTCCAAACAAGCAATTCGTCAAATAGTCGCCATGATGGAGATCTTGAAGCCAGAAAGAACCAGTTACCCAAGAAAAGTCAACCGACACCACCACAGATCACATTCCGCCAATTCGCTGGTCGTGCTCTTGCTGCTGGCCTACGTAGCCTCGTAGTCGCCATGAGTCCAACCGGTATCAAGACAGCGTTCCGACAGAGCCCAGGCGCAACAACACTAGGAATCTTCATGTGAGTCCCAGAGCGTATCCTTGGCCATTTCCTTGTGGTAACAATATCAGCCTCGGTGTGGTGTCAGTCATTGGCGCATACACCGTCTATCTCTACTTCAACTACTTCTACCACTACCAATTTACACGATACCCAAAGCCCATTGCAAACTCTTTACGACGAGCTCTATACTATACCAACATCAGTCCCGATTCCGAACTCGCTCTCAAGTACTATAAGCGCGCCATGGATCAATGCGCAGAGCATGGCCTAGATCCCTACTCTGACGAAGTACTTGGTATTCGTATCCAGACTTCACACTGGCTGCAGAAGATCGGAAATTACAGCGGCTGCTTGCAGGTTCTTGAGGGAATCCTTGCCGATTGCAACAGGTGGATCCGGGTTATGGAGCACTCCGTCAAGGAAGGCAAAGTCAATGATGATGGCAGACTTATCAAGCCTGCATCCGAGACGCCTGAGGCCTCTTCGACCCATGTTGCGAACGATTCCACTTCTTCCAATGAGCAAGAAGCGACTGACGGGGACTTTGTACCCGAAAGCTTATGGCATAAGAGGCAACGTCTTCTTACTAAGACTGTTGGGATCGCTATCAAACTTGGAGAGCTATACGCAGACGAACACGTTCTTGACCCTGACAGCTCTCAGAAGCACCTCATTTGGGCCGTTGAAACCGCCTTGAAAGAGTTCCGTCGCCGTAAGGAGGAGGGCATCAAGCCTGGAGAGGGTGACTGGCTAAGCCCAGAACAAATGGGTGGCGCTATGGAATCTTTGGGTCGTGACTACGAGCGCAAGAACCAGTTCCACCTCGCGATACCCCTTTTCTTCCAAGCTCTTCGTCTTTGCGAGACGCCCTGCCACCGCCCCATCATTATGAACAACCTCGCTGCCAGTTTCGCCCAACATCCTATATTTGTTCCGCCTACCAGCGAGCCCTCCGAGATAAATCAGGAGCTGCATGACCCTGCTATGCCCGCGACTCGAAAAGAGTGCTTAGAAGCTGCGCAGAACTGGGCCAAGAACGCTTATAAGCATGCAAAGGATGTTAGTGGCGACGAGCGTACAGAGGAATGCGACGAGGCTTGCGCTGTTGCTTTGTGTAACTGGGGCGATGTCGCAGCTATGTTAGGCAACAATGACTTGGCTCGCAAGAAGTACAAGCAGTGTATTGAGATAGCGGGCAAGCTTGGCTTTCCACATGCAGTGAAACAGGCTCAATCAGGACTTGCTAAGCTGATCTGAAAGCAAAAAGACGTATGAAACACTTTCTGCACCCTGAATAGAGCATCTCGAATGTCTTCGAAATGAAGCACATGTACATCAACTACCTAGGCTTAGCCATGTAACAATAGAATGATAGATGAAATAGGAACGCACCAATGATGATCAGAGAGGTGTGTCCCAGAACCTCCAGAGCAGCGGCTTCTGTTGATTGCCACATCATTTTCAAGGACATAACTCGACATTTATACTTGTTTACAATGCACCAAGTCAGATTGTAATGCACAGACAGGAAATGGTATCTGATGTTTAACTTTAGAGCCCAAGTTGCATTCCGATCATTATTTGATTCCTTAAAAAAATATCCCAGACCTGAGCTCCTAGCAAACACATCTCTTGGAAACACCTTTACGCCTACCATCATGCCATTCATTGCCTGTCTGAATCCAAACTTCAGCCTAAAGGACTATCCCGTCTTCTGTCGCTTTGCTTCCAATCCGCTTGCCGCAGTTGGCGCTGTACCTCCATTTCCGTTAGCAGGAAGGTCGGCTAGGGCAGTTCTACCATCCCCTGGAGGAGGTCGTTTCATTGCTGGGGGTCGATAGCTGCCCCTATTCGCGAGTGGACTGCCTGGACCAGAAGGGGCGCCAATTCGACGAGTTTGATCGAGTGAAGGGTTTATGACATTTCCGCGTGCGCTCTGGGAGCTGGATATGGAAGGTCGCACTGGGGTAAAGCTATTCGTGTTAGAGCGTGTAGCAGGTGCCACTGTTGTTTGGCTATTAGTCGGAGCAACGTGTTGGCCATTCTTTGCAACAGGTTTGGATGAATTGTGGTCAATACCAGGGGTTTTTCGAATAGACGGACTTTCTGCCTTTGGGTTGAACGCCTGCTGTCCCTGTGGCAAAGCAAGACGAGCATTAGTCGAGCCTTCTAGAGTGGATTCCGGTAGTTGATTCACAGCCTTTGCAGAGAAGAACCCTACAGTTTCGGGCATGTTTTGAGGTCCATTGGGTGGCGGATGAGGGTTGCCGGTCTGGTTCGGCGTTGTCCGTCCCGAAGGCCCACCTTGTGGGCGATTGGAAAGTATGGCTGCACCATTTGGGAGGGCTGGACGTTGCTGTCCATGTATCGGGGTTTGCGGTGCTCGATTCGGAGGTCCAGTAGAATTTGACCTGCCAGTTTGTTGCTGAATTTGTTGGGCTGCTGTTCTGTTGGCGGGTTTCTCATTTGCAGATTGGCCCAAGATTGATGTTGAAAGCATAATTTCGTCCGGGTGGCCATCTTCTGGAACACAGAAGTCTGCCTCGTCGAGCTCTACAGATATTCAGCCTCGATTTCCTCAAATCCATCGGAGGACAAGATACCTCCAAGATAATCGTCAAATGACTCTGCAACAGGGAGTGACGGCACCGGCTCTGTCTTGACCACAGGCGCGGCGGGTTCTTGTCTTACAACATCACGCTTGATGAAGTCAGCGTGGCGGTGGAGATTGTCTTGATCGAACTTTTTAACGGGCTCGGCTTTCATTTTGGTGACTTGTTTCACGTAGTCCTTGTCGTATATGCAATTGCCCAAGACGTTACCAAAGCTCCTCAAGGCGCGTTTCAGTCCGTCGGTAGTGCCCTCCTTCTTAGCCTTTTCGAAAGCCATTGCCTTTCCCTTTGCGTTCTCGATGGATCCGTATCCAATATCTTCATGGTAGGTGCCATCGCGTAGTGTAATTCGGACGATGACCGATAATCCGATACTGACGCGCTGTGTTTGAGGATTTTCGTCCGCGAAGTCAACCTGAATGTTTTGAATGGAGGACGACCATCCGTTAAAGCCAAATACTTCATTCGCTAAGGTGATACACTTCTCAGCAGTTAAGTAATGGACTTTGGTACCACCAGGACCTGCACGGGCAGAAATGTACTCGGGGCCAAGCTGTTTATCCAGTTTCGCTGAGATAGTTGCAATGTCCTTGGCAGCCCATTCGGCGACTCGTATACGCGGCTCCTCAAAGGGATTCGTCACTGCAGTGTGCTGATCGCCTGGGCTGAGGAAACCGTTAGTGGTAAGAACATTAAGCGCGACACGTCTAGGGACATACGCAGGCATGGTGAATGCTTGAACACAGAGCAAAATTTATGTACACATGAAGAACTCGGAAAGCGTCAGCAATGAGGATTCGTAGTAATAGAGCAAAATTGAGACAGTATAGAGTTGAGGGCAAAACTTCGCCAGTGGCGGGCTTGATAATGATAAATGAGCAAGAGCGCGTTAACGGTCAATCCAGGCAGTCGCGCCTCCACTTCTACATGACGGGAGAGCACGTGACACAGCTCAGGCAATACCACTCGGGAAGCACCGTCGTCGATAGGTAGCCCATCAGAAGGACTAACCTACCTACCTTAGTACGGAATTCCTGTTCTAAACGAGTGCTGTGCAACTGTGACCAGATTGTCGAAGGTCCACGGTTGCCCCTCATGTCTCGAGCTGCCTTGCATCTACCTACTACCTTAGGTACTAACTTGAGGTAAGGTACTCAGGTAAGGTATTCGGATTAAATGACTTGGGCAACTTTTTGTTCTTACATTAGGTAGCAGACCTCCGTACCCCCTTCACGCATTCGATAGCTTGTGTTTAGAAGGCGAGAGAACTCAAGGTCTCTATCCTATATGATGACAAAAGGATTCCAGTAAGTTTCGTATAGATATAGGAAGACTCGGTATATAATCAGTAGCTCTTAAATCAGATGGCTAATACTTTTGGCACCTTCATTTCAGGCCAGAAGATTTCTTGCTCTCCAAGGCATGTGACACTTAGTACCTGTTTTAATACAAAGGTTATCAGCTTCAAGCTCAACAAAGGGATCTCAATGCCAGGAACATCTCAAAGAGGAACGTCATTTCTTAGAAGAGGAGGGTTGTAAGTACACGAAGCTCAAGATGCAATTGGGATACAATGCCTATCAGGGCTTATCTAGGTACTGAGTTTACAAAACATAGCGTTCGTATTGGACCTTTTAGCTATAGATGTTTCTTCTTGAGGATAATGTTGAACAACCAAGTTCTAACAACTTTTCTATCTGATAAATGTTCACTCAATGCGTTGAGGTCACCTAGATGCGGCTATCAGTCTTTCGTTTTTGGTTTAGTGATATAGACGGAATAGAGCTGGATCGTCTGGATAACTGCATGGGATCTGAGATTCCACGATATGTCCTGGTCAGGATGACATATTTGGCTGGTGGGGAAAAAGTACATGTAGGTATATTAACAGGCTTCATTGACACATATCCAATGGTGGTCGTCACAAGGAGCCAATAAACGAGGATGATGGAGAACTGTCTGCAAGCTTTCTGCCAAGACTGTCAAGATAACAAACGAAATATATCAAATTTCTACATACAGGCCACACGCAGTCTGTCTGCGCTGTCGGGGTTGCTTGGGAAATCAACCAATCCGTATAACAGTAATCCCTACTGGTTCATAAGTGAAAGAAAGGGATATAAAACAACGAACGCAAAACGCCAACCACCCTGCCGTAAAATAAAGAAATGGGTGCCTCAGGTCTATGCCGCCAATGCTGCCAAATGAAAGTCGTCGTAATGATTTGGTCGTAATATGTGCGAAGATGACTCGTCCGGTGCGCCGCGATATGCAATCATTATCTTGGAGGGCTCCAGGTCACAACTGTCCCTACCAGGGCCCAACTCTAACGGGAGCCCCATAGGTACCAGACATGAGCTGGTTGAGAATAGAATTAGGGTCAGAGGGCCCTCCAGCTCCTGGGTTTGCATTGGCGCCTATCCATCCAACACTCGTGGACATGGCATTGATTGCTGAGGCAAGACGATCACCAGATTGTTCATTGTGTCGAGACAAAACTTGATCCCATCCTCCAGTATGTAAATTAAGACCTCCAGCCCTCTTACCAGCCTCGTTGATAACGAGTGCCCATGCCTTCGATATTTCTTCATATGCAGTTTCCTTATGATGTCGGTATGTCTGTGGCTCCCAATTGGGAAGTCTATGAATAATATTTGTGGCCTCATCCAAGAATTCCAGTGATTTGGTAGGCTGGGTTTCATTTGGTGGGAGAAATTGAGGAGTGAAGTCAGATAGTGCGTCAATCAAAGCAACCAGCGGCTCTTTGATCCGATAGTAGGTGTATTCCGGGCTGGTTTCACCGTATGGAATAGCATCCTTCAACTTTGCCTCGTAGCCTTGCAAAACTTGCAAGGCAGACGGAACTGAAGGTCGAGGAGCTTGTGAGACAACCTCGTGACCAATATCGGGATGAGTTTCGCATATGCGCTCAAGAACAGTTCTTAGCTGAGAAGTATCGAGAGTCTCGAGAAGTCGTGGAAGTGCAAGTGGTCGACCGATGACTTCGTTGGATCGTACTTTTTTCGATGGTCGAGCTAGAGGCCGAGCAGAGATGGTAGGAGAACTCCTGGGTGACATGGTTTCATCACCATCCTCGTCAGCTTTTCGCTTTCGAGAGGCCATACTGTGAAAGGGAGGCACTAAGTGTGTTAGTGGCAAAGAGCAGTTGGGTGGAAGAGTTGAGCGAGTTGTCGCATCTCGAATGGGGAATGGTCGAGGCACGATAGCACTTACGGGATCGCTGTGGGGAGAGACGAGGGTTTTCGTGTTGATGGGGGAAGACAGGAGGCTGAGGCGAGAGCAGAACGTTCATGTTGTCGCAAGTTCCAAAAGCATCCGATGGGACTCGGGAACAATCCTTGTTCAACAATCAATGAATGAATAAATCACTCAAAGACAGTGCAGGCTAGACAAGCCAAAATCGGTGACGAATATGTTTGCCGACAAAGATGGTTTGTGTGTTGGCCGTTAAGACACCAGCGGTGGTCTTTTAGTGCTGGACGTCAAGAACCAAAGTTGCAGATTCTATCTCCGGTTGTGTGAATGCAAATGGGTCGGGAGTCAGCGTCTAAGCACTGTGAATATATGATGGAAGCGTTTGCTTGGCAGAATTGCTATACCGAGCGATACAATATATCGAGTGAAATAAAGGGATCGTGGCGGAGGGTGAATGGCGTAGAAGAGGGTTTTAAAAAGGTGGAGGAGGATGAAGAGGTGGACGGGACTGGTGAAGTTGGGGTTGGTCAGGCTTTGAATGAGGGAGAGTTCCAAGGTTCCAGTGTTTTTGGTCCGTTGTCTGGGGCTAGTGAATTTTGCCTGGGCCTACATAGGTCGACGGGGGGTCACGAGGCATCTCATTCGCTCTGGCCACACCTGACGCCCCGTCGCAAGCCGCCCAGGCCTGGTAGCCACACGCGAACAGGGACCGGTTGAGGGGCATCTTCATGGTCCCCAGTATTAATTTAGCACCTTTTTGGGCTCAAGTGGCTGTTGGTTGGTTTCAATTTTCCTTCACCGCGCTGGCCGGGTCAACAATTCTATGTCATAACTCTTGCAAATTTTCTTCAAGCGTCATTCCAAGTATTTTCTTCAAAGCTCATATGTCAGAAGCGGTATAGGATTAGAAATCTGCTGGGGCTCTTATAGCATACCCACCAATCAATACCACGGCAAAGTTAAGATTAACTAAGCCCGGGCCGTCTTGACGGGGCCGGAACGGGTCCTTTCCCTAATTCGGCCGCCATCACCAGGCTTCGGCCGGCGACGGCCTCGGCGATGTACGTCGGGGTCGGGCCTGAGAGATACAGGCCCCGGAACAACAAGTCACAGTGAATGTTCTCATCAATCACCTCCTTATCAACAATGCCGATGTATTGGCATATTAGTCGGGTGATAGCTTACGGTTGGGCCGCAGATAAATGATACTAATTAGGATGAAGTTACAGATGGCATTGTTCCTCATTATCCAGGGCCCTAACTGTGGTAAGCTCAGATCCATGGATGATTCACTGGCAACTTTGCTTGATAAATTCTGCCATTGGGTGTTTGGGATGTTTCTGAGACAGCAAAACCCCTGCTACTACTGAGGTATATTGGACAACTAGTGCCGTCAGGCGGTGAATGATATTAGATGAATTACATTTTGTTCGACAGTACTCCGTAAAAGCGTATATTTGACACCAATCTCAATTATTTCCCCTCTATTACCAGACAAGTTAGCAAACTATGGATCATCCGTAATGGCATCAGTCCGGAAGATTGCTGCCTTCACACTTCCCAATAGTGTACAGGCACCAAATGCCACTGCGCCCATCCGCAAGCATCAACACCCGAAAATTGCCAGCCCCCGGTGAGGCAGGATGGCTATTTATCTCACTGCCAGTATCATGTTCCAGCAAATTTCGATGACTGCCCTCGTATGCCCTTCTCGTCGCTTTTTCAGAGGTTGAATGAGCTCGCCGTAACGTGCTTGGGGTTGGCATAACGCTGAGAAGTTGATTCCCCTGTCAGTGCTCACCAGAATTTCACTCATTAATTTCTTCTTTTCGTTAAACAATCTGTAAACTTCTCCCTAATTCCAGGGGGTTGGTTCTTTTCAATGCGGTGGACAACAGATAACGGACAACTTGACACTTGACAGGCCCACCATCGGAGGAAATCAGATTTTCAAGGGTCCGGTGTGGCAGACCCACATCTCCAAGTTTCTTATCTCTTATCGCAATAGAACAGGCAGAAAATTTCTAGCGACTTTATCCTTAGACTCGTCTATCAGCCATCATCACCACAATGGCGACAAAGGAAAAGAAAGAGAAGAAGCCGAAAAGTTCTAGGTCAGAATTAAAGACCGAGAACCCCGAGAAGACCATCGAAACTGAGAGGGTCGAATCGACAGAAGATGTCGAAATGGCAGAGTCTGAAGCCGCCGTATCCTCTTCCAAGCGCAAGATCGAACTAGAGGAAATCGAAGTCGACGTAGACGCACCCGAGCCCCCGTCTAAGCGTGCAAAGCGTGCACTCAAAAAGGGGAAGTCATTGCCCTCGAAACAGGATAGCGATGACGAGAAGAAGGGCGATAAAGATGGCAAGGATAAGAAAACAGCTCGGTCAGAGCACAGTGTCTGGATCGGCAACATGCCATTTCATGTCACGGCTACGGAGCTGCGCAAGTGGCTCGTCGATAACTCCGGAGGCGTCATCACCGAAGAGATGATCACCCGGGTCAAGCTA